TACATCCAAGACACTTGTAAAGTGTATTTATATATCCAAGCTTAAACCCTATATCCGGGATCTCAAATTAAACACACAAAAAACAACACCAATCATGAGATGTGAAGCATGAAGTTATAGTATAATTGGGTTACATACAATTACAAATTGTTCTCCTGTAATTTTATCTTAAGATTCACTTTTACAATATACTTATAGCGCATTAAGATACCCTGAATGTTTGAACTTGAGGGTTTACTACCTCATAAAGTAGTGTGGATTAAACACTGTTAGATTTAAGGTCAACATTTAACAGAACAATGTATTTAAAGAAAAGCCAAAAATATTTTTTATCTATTATGTTAAATTAAATATTTTTTATCTATTATGTTAAAAGTTTCAATGGTTTACATATTAAATGTGATTAATGACTGGTTTTGTAGTATTCATCAACATATTTCTACTGAGTAACTAGTAAATCAGTAAGGGTTAATTTTGCATATTTAGACCTCTTTTTGGTAAATTACTAATTTACGCAAACTGTAAGTGCCATTTGTAATAGTTATAGAATATTAACGAGGACTTCACCGGCTGGAATCAGCGCATGGGGCGACAACAAGGGTCATTCATAGGAAATTAATCGAGACGGAACGTCGAGATTAATTTCCATGATTGACCCTTTTGTCGCCCCATGCGCTGATACCAGCCGGTGAAGTCCTAACTGTTTTATCGCATGACCATCACGACTTTTTTCTTCTCTCGTAATATTTTCTTTATTTAAACATATAAATATTTTAAGAAATACCCACAGAAATACACCCACTAGATGCCGTTGAAGGAACTGGACATAAATAACAATTTCACGAGGTAATGTGATGCAATTTTTCTAATTCGAAATAATAATTATCTTTCCAGCTCATTTTCAAAATATAATTTAGGAAATATTGTCGATAAGTATCCCGGTGTATATTTCAGAGGTATATCTTGTACGCGTATTTTTTAAAACTAACGACAATGTAGTGATTTTTACTTTAAGGCACATTTTGCCTCAGAAATCCTTTTTTATTAAAATCTTTAGAAATGTAAAACACATGTTTTAAATCAGGTTTTAATAATGGATTTAGAACATGTAAGATATTTAATAGCTGAAGAAAGTAGTGCTGAATGTGAAGGTAGCAAAATGTAAACAAATAGTATTTTGACTTCCATACAAAATACTAATTCATTATAATTATACCAATTGCCAGCAAAGCAAAAGATGCAAAGATAGTTCATTTATATGGCAAATAAGTATTTTTTGTGGAACTTGTAACAAGACACCAAATATTTAAAATTTTGAGAAATAAAAATGATAGCATTTCTGATGCATAATGTGCCTTTAACACTACTTCCATCTATTAATAATTACGCTAGAATAGTATGTTCATATACGTGTACTGATTTACTGAATGGCTTACTGGTCAGAATCTCCTGTAAACGAAGGCATTGTTTAAAGTAAAATAAAAAGAATAATTTGATCATTGTTTCAGATTTGTCCTCGAGGTCAGGATGCAGAAAATGGCGATTTCTTTCCACTGATGTCAACATCTTTATAAAAATTGCATTTTCAGGTTTTAAAAAAAAGAAAAAGATGGAGATGATATATGAATATTATTAAAAAAAGTTCTGTAAACTGTGCAATGTTTTGTTTTACTCTTTTTCAGGTATGCTCACTTTATTATTTGAAATAAAATAATAAACTGGGCATGCGCGAGAAAGTGTACTGATACCTCATTTAGAGCACCCCAAAGCGTACCGATACCTCATTTAGAGCACCCCAAAAGTTTCCAATACCGAAATTTAGAGAACCCGATCTTCAAAGAAAAGTTGTGGCGGTCATGCGATAAGCAATGTGTAAATGACTATCTTTGTTTATTTCACAATATTTAACTTTTAAATACGGATAAGAAAATTTCACGAAAATTTAGCATGAATCTGGAGGCATGCTGCTTTAAATTAGCAAAAAACAGGAATTTTTTCCTTATCATTCAATTAAGTACCATACTAAGTGGACCCCTTCAGCAAATATCTGTGGACCTTTTAAGTCCTCTTCAACAAAATATCCATGAACTTCTTCTAGAGGTTATATTCTTTAAAATTATGCAGTTTTCAACTAAAATTAAATTCACAGAGGGAATTTTCTTCCCCTGTTGCAAAAAATGTTTTCCTCAAACCTTCCTGTGAAAAAAAAAACATCAATGAAAAATATTTTTTGAATGGCATGATCTTTTAACACCTTGGTAACTGGTCTGATTTATAATTAAAGTATACCTTGTGATGCTATGTCATAGAAAGTTTTTGTCTGTTTAAATCTATTGAAAAAAAAACAACAACAAAAAAACATAATACAAAAAAACTTGTAAAGTCCAGCATTTAAAATTACATATTTATTTTTCTTATTTTTTGTTTCTTGAAATGAGACAGAAATTCTACATGACGATATGTAAAATAAATCGACAGCAAAGCTAATAAAATATTCCCAATGCAATTGACTTATATATCTACCTGCTTCACCACACACCTTGAAATCGATAAAAAAAAATTTAAAAAACATCAATTTGTAATTTTATATGGAATTCAGATTATGAATAATTTTGATAAATGGTGGAGTAATTCAATTTTGATGTTAAATATCCTAACCCTGCAAATTCATATTAAAAAGGAGTAAATACTTTTACAGTTTTTAATTCCATCCGAGCAACATTTTATGACCGAAAAAGCAAAATTGAAGTGGATCACTTTCATTCAATGGTGACACATTTTTCCAAAGTTTATGGTTATTTAACCTTATCTGTTGTGAAAGTAGAATTTTATTTACTATCAATGCATTAAAGGGACTCACTCCACTGATGTTTAAAAAGCCTAAAAACATAACATTTGAATTTCTTACATAAATGAGCAGGGGCAAAGATAGTTAAAAGATATACTTTGAAATAAATTAAAAATCGTATTTTAATGCCTTTCTTAGCCCAATTTGAGTGGAAAGTGTTTAAAGGCTTTTCATTTTGGGTCATTTTTTTTACAATTTGAATAATTATTCTGGAAAAAACGAAGAGCACGAATGATCTGAAATTTTGCACCAAGATTAGTGGTCAAATGGTTCATTAATCTGCAAAAAATATTTTCAGTCTAATCTTGTCAAAAAACCTCAGTGTGTCCCTTTAAAATAAAGTGATAATTTTTCAAAAAGTTACTAAATATGCAATGAAAGAATTCAGATTTTCTGACTGTCATCATCAAAAACACACATTATAATTATGAAGCAAAATATTTGACAAAATTTCAAGTACTAGTAAATGTTGTTTCTTTTAAATGCCTGTGTACATGTATGAACATTTCAAGACACAGCATGTACAATGTAACATAATTATGTGACTATATTGTAAATAATATATCAAATATTATTCTTTGTATTTATTGAATTCCAATGCATGTAACAAATTACTATATTGTATACATGGATGTACATATCTAACAGTATTCTTTGTATTTACTAAATGGTATACATGCACATTTAAAGTCAGACCGGTGTCCTAGATTTTACACTGTTCTTGACTTTTGTCCCAGATTTGACACCATTTGTTTATGTCCAACAGTTTCATCATATATCATTTTGTTCTAGAATGCAAAACAATCTACAACATTGATTTTTTTTATATCAGTGCATTTCCAATATAGTAAATATTGTTATGCTTAAAATGTTTAATTTGGCCATCTCTACTGTATTCCTTTTTTTATGTTAAGTTTACTTAATAAACATTAATACATCAAGCATATTGTCTTTAACTGTCTTAAATATTTATATTAAGAAAATTTCCTTTTCATTGCATTCATTCACTAAGAAAGAAAAATGTAAGCAGCTTAGAAGCTAAAAAGAAATCAGTGAAAAAAGCGTAACAGGTTCCAAGGATCCCTGGTGCAAGTCATAGGCTGCAGATTTCTTTAAAAGCTGGTCGCATTTGGTGCCTAACATGGGACTGTGATAGCTGCAATACCTTGTGGTTTGGTAAAATAGATTATAGCATTAGATACATCATCATCTGGGACTAAAAATATTTTTTATCCCAGAGCATCATGTCTACGGGTTGTGAAGCTAACTAATGTATGCATCCAAGTCATTTGGTAATGCACCATTGAGAACATTTCTGTACACACTAGATAATTCATTGATGTTACCACATAGTCAATAATCCTGTGATACTCTGAACAAATTCAATTTTTGCATTTGTAATACTATACTTACACATGGCTGAAAGGCCATGCACAGATCAACAAATTAGACCTATACACTTTGATAGGCAAACGTACATTAAACAAAGATGCAACAGTTTAAATACTATTTTTGAAAGTTATTTTCCTGTTAGAAAATGTCTGTGCATATCTTTGTCAACTGTATAAAAGAAATTCAAGATGAAATCTGTCGCTGTATTTGCAATTTGAATAACATTCCTATGCATAAATCTAACACAAGACACTGTATTGCTATAATGCAACAATATATTGATGAATCAATTACTGAATTGATATTGATAAGTCATTAAATGTTTAAAAGTAATGTTTCTATTATAAATGAAATATGCAAGAAATGACATACTGTCAATCATTCTATTGAATTGCTTTAATGAGGCCGCAAGATTTGAATACACACTACTTCACACAATATAATTTATTCTAATTCTTGTATGTAATGACACTCTGCAGATATTTATTTTAGCATGTCAAAGCAGACAAGAATTAATTCATTATTTGTTTGGTACCTTAAGACTTGTTTTGTTTTCTAACATGTATTCACATAGACTAAAATCAACCAGGTTAATGGACAGTAATAATCGTCATATTCTTTACTGATCACTTTTGAACATACAATGTACTGTAATATGTTGAGTGTTGTATAACAATGTTCAACAGTTTTTACAACCTGTTAACTGCTGAAGTTACTTGCACTAAATCAAGCAAATGACAGTAAAAACAAGCATACTTACAGAAGCTCCAAACACAACAAAAACATGACTGGCACCATGGCCTTTGTTTTCCACAGTCTGTCGAATCAGTGTCAAAGGATCAATTGTTTTAGACATGTTTTGATTTTGGACTGCTGCAACAGGAATTTCCGTGACCAGACCCTTGATAAAACCCGTATTTGAACCGTTACCGGTTAAAGTATGTCAAGAGTAACTCCCCTTAGCAACTCTTCAGTTGTTTAGGAATTCTCCAAATTATTTTGGGAAGAAAATCTAAAATATTTTAGCAAAATCGGTAAGCAGTGATTATATATTTGTATTATTAATGTTCTTTTAGTTTTACATCTCAAATTACTTTTTTATAAAACAAAATTTATGCGATTCCTTTGAAAAGCAAACGACTTTTGTAGGTTGACTTTTAATGAAGCATGTTTTAGCTTGTTTGAAAAATTCTGGGACTTAACAAATTGGTCATCATCAAAAGAAAACTTGTATTTTTGCAACTTAATACCATAGTAATTCAAGAAAAATCCATCTCTTTATTCTTACATTTGCAAATTTATCAAAATTAGGGACAGATTATTTTGATTATCTGACCTCATTGTCACCAATTCTAGCTGTAGTTTTGACTCCTATAAATTTTTGCTTTTCAACATCATGATGTTTACTTCTTTGCAAAGCAACTGCATTTTACAGAAATTATGTAATAGGACACGCTCTTATCAATTAGATAAGCAGTCTCATGTTGGCGTCAAACAGTCAATAAGCTTTCTTTTTCAATTAACTGTAAAGAAATACTATTGATCTCTGAGGCGTTTATCGGCTATTTAACACCAGTTTGTCCTTTCGATGAATTTTGTGAAAAAATTAACTACTGTAAACTACAGCCATCTTGGTCAGTTCTGCTGCATTTAACTGCTCAGACTGTTTTTTTTTATTTTAAGAAGGTAAAACAAGGGAGATCACTAATTAATGCCATTTTTCAAGCAGATAATAAGTCTGCTGCTGTTTTGTATTCCACACTCTATTAAGGTAAAAAAAAAAAAAAAATTAAAAGAAAGTTTCACTTTGAATATCATTCATATCTTTATTTTCAATAATTATTTTAACAATTTCAATTTACATACCAGACCTGATTATATAGTGTTTACATCTTGTGCATATATTATAAGTTTATGTTACATTGTACATCATTCTTGTGCTTATTATTATAAATATTTCAGGACTTTACACCTCATGGACGCTTCACCTTTGGTCTTTACACATCCTGGATGTTTCACCTTTGGTCTTTACACCTCCTGGATGTTTCCGCTACTTTTTTTTTATAAATAATATTGTATGCTGTATGGATTAATATCAGTAAACTAATGTTTGACATAAGAAATTTTATTTAAAAAATGACATTCTAGTTCAAATAAAATTTACCAAATATGTATCAATGTATGAAAAACAGATAAAAACAAAATGATCAGATTTACTAAATTTTATTCAGAGTCAATTACTATATCTGCAATGTATGCACTTAACAATAACATAACATTAAAATAAACACTGTTATTTTCATTATATAATTTCATTTCCTATTTTATAAAAATGATAAGAAAATAAAAATGGTATCATATTTTATTCTAAGGCCATCCTTAAAAAAATGTTTGTTTGCATTAACCCGACCCAGAATTTTCAAGGTGGGTAGGTAGTTAATTTTTTTTTTTTTTTATTGAACTGTACTCCCAAATAAACATGGAATTTCAAAAGGCTGGACAATATATGCTTTGATAATCTGATAACAATTAATAAATTGATAACTGAATTCTAATTTAATAAGACCTACATTTTATTTCTTCTATTAACCTTTAAAAGAACCAAAACAAAGCACAAGGCATAATTTTCTGATTCCAAAAAAAAAATTTTATCCAGACCATGAAAAAAAATTTTGAGTAGGGGCAAATTTTGTGAGTCGGTCGCGTTACTGCAAAGGAACATTTTTTAAGGATGCCCCAAATATTCAACTATCATTTTGTCATCTTCATTGTTTGTCTTTTTTATTCTGACATTAAGATAAATCTATTACAAAAACTTGCTGAAAATGCTTTAAAAAGATCAAGCTAGAATGAATTTATAACCAATTATTTCAAATTAAATACTTTAATAGAAAAATACTCTCTTGTAAAAAAAAGTTAAAATATTAAAAATCATGTAAGTAAATAAAATTAAATGTACTAACATTAAATTTTCTTATATATAATACTGTGTGTATATAATAAAAAATAATAAAAATCTCTAATAATATCACTATGATTACTATAATACAATATGTAAACTGTACACAGTTCAACCTTGCAAAATATTAAAATTGCTATATGTACATCTTAAAGTTTATGATAAAATCACAAATTTGTTACAGAGAACTAAAAGTTACATACTTCTAAAGGTGCTAATTTAGTAATTTTATAATGCTTTATTCAAAATTCTTTCACACTTCTAATGGTTCTTATCTGTTATATAAAAACATATTTTAATTAATCAATAATTTTTATGGTATTTAATTTTTGGATAACAAAAAAAAAATGGAATAATATATACATGTAGACTTATAGCTGATAATTCTTTCAGAACTCATATTTATAATTATTTTCCCAGGGAAATTTCACTATATTTATGTCCAAAAAAATCTTCTTTATATCATGAATGTAATTGATTGCAAGTATGTGTTATATTATATATAATTTTATAACCCATTATGGTATTTATTTCATATATTTATCAAATTTAAAAAATGGATGTGAAAAGACCAGGGTTTTGAGGGTGAAACGTCCAGGAGATGTTAAGTCCAATCACCATTATAAACTAGTTGCATGCTAGATGATGTTATTATGCTGCATATGAATATCCAAATATTCTTTTCATATATATATCAACTGATAAAGATAAAAAAATCTTTCTTTAAGTTTGACAAATTTAATTTCCAATCTTTGACAGGCCTTTTTATCTTGGGTCTTCAGATCTGTCTCTCTATGGATTCTTTCTCCAATGTATCTCTGACCTAGTCTTAGCAACACCTGGTTATGTTTCACTTTCATAGTATTAATGGAACATTCTTTTGCTACTGGAAAAGTTACTGTCTATTATGTCCTGCTGTATTGAAAATCTTATTTTATTTCAGAGAAGCTAAAAAGAAAAAAAAATATATAAGAAGGCATGGGTCCAAGGGCTGTTACCTTCTCAGAAGAGGATAAAGGTATGTTTATCAATTAATCAAAGATATACTATGCTCAAATTTGCTATATGAAATATTTGAAATTGCAACACAGTCTCTTTGTAAATATAAAATAAACATGTTTATACTTCATACAAAGTTTAAAATTCTACACATTATTGGTGGTCACAACATGAATATATAGAGGATATTTGTTTGTTTTGCATGTAAGATTGAAATATACTTCACTGAGTGAACACCAGATGTAATATTTTCACGAGTGGCGCAGCCACGAGTGAAAATATTATAGCTGGTGTTCACGAATGAAATATATTTCCATCTTATATGTAAAACAAATAAATTATCTTTTTATTTCATGCTTTTTAAGTGATTTTTAAGAATTTTTGACTGATTTTGCAGCGTAACGACGCGCATTCTCCTTTATGACGTCATCACATCATGACGTCTCATCATGAATTTTGAAATATAGTTCTGTTAAATTTCACTAATTTTGTTACTTTTTTAACGTGATATATGATAACATCAACTTTTTTTTCATACAGAAGCAAAATTTAATATGATGGAATTTATTTTTGCCAGTTATTCCATTTAGTTATGATATTCTTTTCATCCGCATTCAGAAATAGTCCAGCTACAGTGAAAATTATATTTTATAAATTTCACTAGTGTTTTATCAGAATATAATCATCTGATATATTACAGTAAAACACCAGAAAGCATAAAATAAAGAGTGTCATTTTCTAAGAAAGGACCAACCTTACTTGACCTGTAATAGGAAACGCAGCTTCCTATACATAGTTAATTCATTCTTTTATTCAAATAAGACATAGTAAAAATTTCATAGATTTCAATAAATTTCTGTGATATTTTAGTTAAGGATGAGCATATTATATCTTTAAGAAATATTATATCAAAGAAAAATGCTTTGTCTGATTATCATGTTTGATGGATTTTTGGGGGAAAAAATACATTAACAGTCAAATTATTTAATATATTTTACTCACTAATAACTGATTTATTTCCTTACCATTGATATCCTATATTGAGATATTTAATCACATGATATTCAAATGATAACAGACCAGACATACATTTATTTAAGCCATTGTCAACAAGCTAAAAGGGCTTCTCGACCAGCTTCATGTTCCAAGCCGTATTAACACAGTAGCTGACATTGGTGCTGGAGTGTTTGTCACATTGTATGAAGGTCTGTGTGGAGAACAACTTCCAGGTAAGCTTGTTGATGTAAATATGTATACATGATAGTGTGTCATATGAATGTTCATAAGCTGGTATTTTAAAATCGCTTTCTCTTTAAATAATTATGTTTAAGGTTAAATAAAATTGTGAATGTCACTGTTGCATAGTAAATATTCATAGAATTTGATGGGGGGTTTTTAAATCCATATTTTTGATGTAAAGGTATTGTGAATTTATTTTAATAAACATATTAATTGTCAAAAATGGTAGTAATACTTTCATGACAAATATCATTGAAGCAAACATGAAGGGAATTATTTTCTGATGTTTTTATCATTATATAATTATGAATTACATGTATATTAATTTGCAATGGACATGTATACATATCTATAAGAATTGTTTTAAGAGCAAATACTATATCTGCATTGATTCTTTTAATATTACAAAATAATTACCCCTAACCATGCTAAAAAATCTTAAATGGACTTGTCTATTGTTTAATCTGGACCATTCATCATATTTAAGGAAAATTTTATAAGATGTGTACTGACTGAATAGCAAACAATAGAGTCGATGATCAGAGTGCATGCAAAAGATGAGCTGTCTGATCTTGGTTGTAACCAACAGGCTAAGATTTTGTAATTTTCAAATTATTTTCCAGGTATAATAAGGTCTGCTAACACCAGAGAAGATGAAATTCATAACTGTCAGATAGTGATAGACTCACTAGCAGGAGATGTTTTACACACGTCCCTGACTCACATTGGTGGTGCCGACGTTATTGATGGGAACCGAGAAGGAATAAATAACCTGGTTGAGATATTTTCCGGTCTTCTTGAGTACATGCTGAACAAGATTGATAGTGACGCTTCCACTGATAATGGTTGGTGCCTGTTTTGAATGAGCCGTGTCACAACAAAACCGACATAGTGCGTTTGCTACCAGCATGGATCCAGACCAGCCTGCGCATTCGCGCAGTCTGATCAGGACCCATGCTGTTCGCTTACAAACCCTATTACAAGTAGAGAAACTGATAGCGAATAGCATGGATCCTGATCAGACTGCAGGGATGCGCAGGCTGATCTGGATCCATGCTGGTCGCAAACCCATTATGTTGGTTTTGACGTGATATGGCTCAAATGTTTTTCGCTATTGTACTATGGTAACAATAAATGCTACTATAAGAAGTGCATCCTTAGATTCCTAAAATGAAGTAGAGCTGCTATGGACAGAAAAGGCATCAATGTATCTTTGAAATTCTTCTGTCAATCAATATGTCTTTGATCTTTTTCTGTCGATCATTTATTTATATTAAAGTTTTGAAATATAGATAAATTTTGACTTGTCATTGGAGTTAAATTCAATTTTATGATACTTTTATCAAGTAAAATAGAATGGAAAACTATGTGTTTAGATTCAGATTATGAGAATTATTTTAGTTTTTGAAGGTCATTTTGGTTTGAACTTGGTTTATTTTACAGTTAACCATTCATATTCTATTCTAGTGTTTTAATGTACAGTCTGTACACATATATAACTTCCATTCCTATTTGAATGGAATGGTAAAATACTTGTAAAAAATAGTAACAGAGATAATTAAGACAATTTTTTGCCTACATATGTGTCAGCACTGCTTCTAAAAAAAGGTAGGAAAAAACTTTAAAAGTGAAAATACACTTTTTTAGCTTAACTATTCAAAGAAGAGGGTTAGTTATTGTACTCACCCAGATGTCAGTGTCACATTTTGATTTAGTTTTATATGCAACTTAGTTTTTCAAAAATTATTAAAGGGAATGCGTTAAAACTTCACACACTTATTTGAGGGCATAATAGGAGGTCACTGTCCAAGGCCCATAACTCTAATAATCAAGCACACTGTCCTGCTGACAGCTCTTGTATCAAATGTTATTTACAGAGGAAGATGGTCATAACCTAACAGCTGACGATCCAGACCTGATCACACGGGATCAAATAGATGAAATTCTTGAGTCAGAGCTGCGAAGAGAAAGACTGTTGAACGAGGCAACTGGAATAAAAAATGCTGGTCCCACAGCAAGATGGGTTGAAGAGTATGTTTCACTAACTTATTCTCTCTCATGACACTTTGATGATAAATGCAATATTTCTTACCCATATATAAAGGACATTGATTGAGTGTTGGTTCAATACTGAATTTATTGAACGTGTTGAATAAAATTATATTATGCTAGCCTCTGGCTATCAAAATATAATTTTATTCAACAAGTTTAATACATTCAGTAATGTTCCTACATGAATATTATATTCTATTTATCACATACCCAAAATAAAGACTGTTTAAAGTGCAAAATAATCATTTTTCATTGACATGCCTATAGTGTAATGCTAACATTTAGCACATCTTTACACTATGTTTGTATAACGTGAATGATGTCACATTAAAACATGTACGGCTGTGCAATATCATTTTATTTACAGAATCGCAAAATCGGCATGGGTATGTGATAAATAATATTTTTGTATAACATATGTTTCTTTTAAGATCTCTTTTACAAAACTGGTGTAAAGTCATAATTTATCTTTTGCAATATGGTTTTTATTCTATAAGGAACACATATTGCCACGTTAGTGCATAATATGAGTTAACAAGTTATATACTCATTTAAAATATTCAGTGTAATAAAAGACTGTATATAGTTTATTTATCATATCCTGTCTTGTTCTTAATGTACATCTTGCTAAATTATAATTGATTAAACAACTTTAGGACTAAGAAGATTCTTGTTGAAAACGTAATTTAATTTCAACTTGTTGGTATTTTGCTTACAAATAGGTGTAGCCCATCAAGGAGAAGGCGTGGAGAAGATAGAGATGGTCTCGATTTAACAATTGAAGATTTATCACTAACTCCATCAAAAGGTTTGCATATTAATACTCATTAAATTAAAATTGAAATTACTGACATGCAATCTTTGTGGTCAGTTTTGTTTGGTGATAAGCATCAAACCTTGCCCTATCTATGAAAGATTTTTAAAGTTTCATCCAGTTTTGTTTGGATTTGTAATTCATCATAATTTCTATATTATAAAGATTTTTATCATTTAATAGTTAATCAAATTATATAACAAATACAATTTTTCCCAACATTTAATCACAGTTTTGTTTTGACATTTAGATAAAGTCGAATCAACCGCAGATTTGATTAGAGAAACGGAAGAGTTGGAGAGACGTCTCTTGGAGGAGAGAAGAATACTCGAGGAAACTAAAAGACAAAAAGAAAGACTGCTCAGCAGTTTGTCTGAAAGAGAATCAAGATTAAGTGAAGAAGCAGTGAGATTCCCAGATCCCCATATTTCTCAACCACAGGTCTCAGATAAAGGGAGACAATCTCCAATTGTTACAGATAAACCGCCAATGAGTGAAGGTACTTGGAAATTTATACGCAAAAGATTTGAATGTTGATGTTGCCTTAAAGTGTTTATTTGATATTAATACCAAATTGAAGACAGTTGTGTTTCTCCAAAATCATTATTATTCATAGGACACATGGTTTTTTGTGGATTGGTCATTCCATAAATTTAAGATGTAACGAAATATTATATTGGGCAGCTGGAAGATTATTTCATGTATTACATTAATTGCAATTTACGTTCATTGTAAGAACAGATATTCTAAACATTGATAAATCCATGAAAAAGTTCTTTTTGATAAAAAAACCCCATGAAATTTCAATTTCATGCTAACAAAATTAATTGATGTCACATAAACTTAAGATAGAAAATATGAATTTGTTTTGAAGGTGAAACTTAAGAAAAAATATATGAATTTGTTTTGAAGGTTTAGTAAGGGAACGTGAAAGTCGATCCGATATAATCCGGCGTCTAGAGAATGATCCTCGGTACAAGTACATGTTACCACCAACCCATGCTGAGACGCACGCCCACGATCAGGAAACGGATGAAACTTTCAGAAATTTACAGAATATGGTAGAAGAAACAGCAGCCATGGCACGCGAGGCTGTAGATTGCAGCCCATCACGTGCCAAGTCCATGTTAGAGAATCTTGAAGCTGTCAATTCACAAAGAAGGTAAAATATAATCATAGGATTCAGTGCAACTCCTGTAAAAATACATGATCCTTTTTAAAAACAATGGATATATAAATATATTATGATTTAATTCTTTTGTTTAAAATTAAACATATTAAATTACGCCCAATTATGAAAAAAGTCCTTGCAATATATGAGGAAACCTGTTTGTGACTAAAGTAGGGCTTGAATCTACAATACATAGGTTAACAGGCATGTGGCATAATCACTTGGTCAGCACTTATTATTTTCAGGGGGTGTGCTGTTGGGTTAAGAGCCGTTAAGCAATATTTTAGTCATAAAGTGATGGGGAATATATAATAAGGAATGTTGAAAAAGTTATACAAATTTAGTGCAATTGTTTAATATTCATGTTCTTTTTGATGCATTAATCTTGAATGTGGTTCATATTAAATAACTGTTTGTACAGGGCTGTTGCTGCTTCAAAATCTCCATACAGAGGTCAGACAAGGTCAGGGGTCAGAGGGAGGTCAGAGGTCACTGCAAGGTCAAGGAGAGAACAACAAGACCTTAGACAGAGAACAAACAAGCGTGCCTCACCCTCTGCCAGGAAGCCTAGTCCAAAAACAGCAGATAAACTTTCTGATAATGAGGTGAGACTGCCTTCCATTTTTGAAACTGTTCATTATCAATTTTGGAGATATCAAGATGAAAATTAAAGTTAGGCAATAAATGTGCAAACCAGGTCAGCTTTGTATTGACGGAACTCATAATATTAGTCACTTATGGTACTTATTTTACTTTCATTAAATTGTGGTATGTATAATTGTATACACCATGTTTTTTCTTCTTTCTTTTAATTCAATTAAAAAAATCCATTTTATTATATACTTATAAATGAAATATTTATGAATTAATATGCATATTTTCATTTTCTGTATTTTCACTGTAAAAATTTATTTCTCACGGCAGTGAAACAAATTTTTTGTATTTTCACTGACTATTTTTTTCTTAATTCTGCCAGTACACAGAATTTAAGGGAAAGTCTCTATTTATTCTTTTCCTGTTTTATTTGGCTTTGTCAAAGTACTAGTATAAGATATAAACATACAATTATACAATTTCAGTTTTACTAAGATTGGGAAAAAAGCATGAGCATAAAATTTAATTTACAAATGTTTTCCTTCAGCTTTCTCCAAGCCGAGCCAAGAGGAAGGTCTCATTCCTGGTGGAGAGGTCATTGACAGAGTCTAGTCCAAGTATTGGGAAGCCTAGCCCTGATAAGTATGTTTGAGCAAATTAGGCCAAAAAATTAGTTTTGTTTCAGGTCTCCCACATCAACACTCTTAAATGCTAACCCTAGACTTTTTTTTTTGCATTTCTGATTGTTCAAATTTTTTCAATCACCATAATTTATGTATGTGTATATTTAAAAAGAAATTCCTACCTACTGACCTGCCTTCTTTTTTTGGCTGGAGACCAGAAAAAGTCCTTCTTTTTTTGCCTAAATGATAACAAGTCACAATTTAGCACTTGTTGCAGTGACAACTTGCTTATGTGATAAGTGTAAATTGTTAAACTCTTTAACTGTTATTTAAAGTGTAGGCCTAATGGTTAATGATTCTGCCTTTCACCCTAGGGGTTGTGGGTGAGAGAGAGCATTACTTGGGTGACACCTTATTTCATCATCTGACACTAGTACTAGTATGTTTCAGGAAGCAGGGTTGAGGGAGATGCACAAAAAGCTTCAAGCTCTCATCATTATGGAGTTGAAGTAAATATGTTGAAATTAAAACATAACTGTTTACTACTGAATTTTATCAATTTGATACAGTAATTTCAGGAAATATGAATGTGCATTCCAAAATTTAAAATAGAGCAAGTCCATTATACCATTATATACCTACATCAGGGTTAGGTTTATCAGTGTATTATTATTTGTAATCAAAGGGGAAGAACTGGTGCCAAATCCCGAAGTTCAGCAGCTGCTAGTGGGAGTTATCTGTCCTTTGAAGATATTTACAGTGATAAAGAGAACACAAGTTACGAAGACAGACTAAAGAAGCAGTTAGTTATACATATTTTTGTCTCCCTTTTATTTAGAATGAAAGAGTAATATTGATGTGAGGATTAACTGTAGAGTCTGAGGTTATAAAGAAATTGTCTAAGCTCAAACTCAGATCTCAGATATTTGAATATCAACCAACCTGTCATTAAATTTTAACTTTGCACAATTGGCTTACATTTCCTCACGCAAAATGTGTGGAATTTTAAATTTTCCAACTTTTTGACACACCAAAATATCCACTTATTGGCATATGTTATTATAATATTCCTGTGTCCATCTATTAGCTTATCATGACAGTTTCTGGACCATCTTCACAAATTTACAGGTACCATGACATTTTGGCCGATCTGTCTGACGATGGTTCCCCGGAAAGGTTCCGGTCAGCTGCTGATTACAGAAAAGACAAATACAAAGAACTTACCAACAGACCAAGAGCTCTCTATACTGTTGGAGATACTCAAAAACTTGTGAATCAGGAGAAGAAAACTGGCAAGAAAAAAATAGGGGTATGTTTTTAAATGTGAACTCTTTGTCTTTTGAATGGTATTTATTAAGAACATACAATCATGTATCTTTCATTGCTGTGGAAATAGAATACTACCTTTTATTAACACTGGTTTCTTAAATCAACCTATAAGATGTCTCAAGTAATGCTATCGGATGCTATATTTAGATGTGGTGCCTACAGAAATGGTATAAGCAGCCTTCAGTAATTGTCTGAGATATCTTCAATAATGTCATGAGGCTCTTACAAAAATGCCATGAGGTGACTTTCATCAATTACTGTATTGAGTCTTATTTAAGGTCAAGATAACTATTTATAACTTCTTATGATATAAGTTTTTTTGTAAGAAAGTCATAAAAATTCTCTTATTCCAGTTCTTTGCCAAAAGATTTATCGTGAAGATTTAGATGAGCTTCTGGACGAGCAGATTATCTCATGGACAAAAATAGACAAGCTGCTAAAGATATGGTATATAAATATTTACATTGTATGAATTAAATCTTGAAAAAAATGTTTTGTCTCTGTAGGAGACTTTGGTTTGTGTATGACATATTTATGGATAAATGCAGGATGTTGCATTGTGCTGCTTTTATTGAGGTTATGTTGTTCTGACCTTTGTTGTGGGAAAGGGTGATATTTATGATATGAATGTTAAGATGATATGACCTTTGTTATTGGGAAAGGGTTATATTAAAGATATGAATGTTGGGATGATGTGAACTTTGTTGTGGGAAAGGTTAATATTAAGAATGTGAAGGATGGGAATGGATGACCTTTGATGTGGGAAAGAGTAACATTAAGGATGGGAACAGATGATATCTTGGATGGGAATGGGTGACATCTAGGATGGGAATAAGTCACATTTTTGGTGAGAATGGGTGACACTTTGCATACATGCCATAAATTCTACACTGCTTTCTGGGAAACTTTTTCATGGAGATCAGCAAGCAAATAACCATTACATTTACATAGTCACATACAACCTATATTACCCAATATTTACAATTTGCAAAATATTATA